CCCCTTTATGTCTGCATCTTGTCTTATTGCTGTAACTAGGCATTCTAATACTAGATTGAAGAGAAGTGGAGAGAGTGGGCATCCTTGTCTTGTTCTTGAGTTAAGGGGAAATGGCTTTAGTTTTTCACCATTGAGTATAATGCTGGCTGTAGGTTTGTCATATACAGCCTTTATTGTATTGAGGATTTTTTAATGCGCAATTTGGTTTAAGAAAATTGAGTTACCAAGATTCATCTCTTTTAGCTACTAAGTCTAATAATGGTGTGGTGAAATAAAACTCTATGTAGAAAAATTATATATTTATATATTTATAAATAGATTTCTGTCACAACAATAAATACAGTCACATTATTACGATAAGGTAATTTAGGCATTGGAAATGTTATCTTTCATATTAATAAAAATGCTCTCCAAATACAGGTATATATAGTTATCATTACACTTATTCTCAAATATTTCTTGTCTGCTTTGCTAGGACATAGATGTTATAAGAAACCTTTCCCTCCCACGAGCTACACCATAGCTTGACTCTAGCAGGACAGGGGTAGAGTAGTCATCAGGAAATAGCAAGGCTATGCAAGTTGTTACAGCAAAATATTTACACTGGCAATAACAATCACTTCTCAAACTGACATTGCTGTTAGGTTTTAACTACAGATTAAACTACATAGGAGTAAAAAGCTGTTAGTTATTAAGAAAATTCTTGGGAAATATTGCTAGAGTCAGGGTGGTGCATGCTTGTGATTCTAACACTCAGGAGGCACAAATTGAAGGATAAGATGTTCAAGGCTACCCTTGGCTACATGCTTAGACCTTGTCTCAAAAAGCTATTTTAAAAAAGCCTCCAGCTTGGTGCACAGTAGCTGACACATGTAATCCTAGCTACTCAGGATGATGAGATCTGAGGATTGCAATTTGAAGCCAATCCAGGCAGGAAAGTCCACGAGACTCTTTTCTACCCCCAAACTGGAAGTGGCTCTATGGTAGAGTGGCAGAGTGCTAACCTTGAACAAAAAGAGCTCAGGGACAGCACTCAGGCCTCACAACCAACCAACCAACACACACACACACACACACACACACACAACCCTCCCTCCTAGACACCCATATTTCATGAGCTCTTAGGGAGAATGCACATATTTCTGAAGCATTAATCAAGAAAACAAAAGTAAGTGGTCACGTTAAAAAGAGAAATTTTTATCTTCTTGATTTTCCATTGTCAAGTGCATTTTTTCTTATTAGTACTGTTCATGACTGATAACTCAGTGAAATTCAGTCTTAAATGATTAGATAATAATGTCAATAATGTTATTACTCATACTTTCAATGGGATTCAATTGACACATGGTACTGGCTTAACAAAATTTTGTTTAAGACAATCATTTTTTCCATATGTGTGTGTGTGTGTGTGTGTGTATATATATATATATATATATGTATATATAGTGTCATTAACCTACCACAAGGGGGCCTTATTTGATAAGGGGGTTATATTGTTGTTTGTTTCTGTTTCTGTTTTTGTTTTTTTATTTGGAGAAATATATCCTGGATCTCTTTTCCTGATTACTAATCAAGAAACCACGGTAGGAG